AACCGGTCTGTATGTGGGATCCGAACCCTCGGCGGGAGTGCCGCCGCGCTTCCCAAGCGGCGCACTAGCGCAGTGCGCCACTGGGCCGGCCCAGCATAAATATTTTTAAAAGCTTTACAGGGCCAGCCCCGTGGCTCACTCAGGGGAGTGCAGCGCCGAGGCTGCGGGTTCGGATCCTATATAGGGATGGCCGGTGCGCTCACTGGCTGAGTGCGGTGCGGGCAACACCAAGCCAAGGGTTATGATCCCCTTACTGGTCACAAAAAAAATAAATAAATAAAAATAAAAATAAAAGCTTTACAGGTAATTCTAATATGAATTTAGAGCTGAGAATGACTGCCCAGTGTTTTTATTTATATATGATAAAAATGAGGCAGGAAGAAATTAAATTATATTCATAGGATTGACAGTAATAGATAATAACTAAGCCAGGAAAATAAGAAATATTACCTTTTCCCCTCTAAAACATGATTTAAAAAATTACATCCCCATATAGTGAGTATGTAAGTATGAAAAGACAGATAGTAAACAAATATATTTTTAAACACTTTGTGTTTTCACTTAATTAATTAGGGAAATAAAGAACCACAGGTCTTACTGTATCACTTTAGTAGGTCCCTTTTCCTTCCTCGTACATCTGTGATGTGTTCACCTAGCAACAGCTTTGATGTGCAAACATTCTACTGGCAAATAGCCCCGAGCAGCCACTCATATTGGACAATTCATGTCTTTTCTGGGAATTGACTTTGGATTTGGAATTTTCTCTTGTGCCTGATAATGGTAAAAATTTATGCTTTTCAGGGCCGGCCTGTGGCTCACTTGGGATAGTGTGGTGCTGATAACACCAATGCCAAGGGTTTGGATCCCTACATATGGATGGCCATTTAGCTCACTTGGGGGAGCGTGGTGCTGACAACACCAAGTCAAGTGTTAAGATCCCCTTACCGGTCATCTATGAAAAAAAAAAAATTATGCTTTTCACTTTCTGCTAAATGAAGCGTAGCATACTATATCTTCTGAGTGTGTAAAAATAGAATAGTCATGCACAAACATAACAAAACATAATAATCGTGTTATATGGCTATATTTTGTTAATATTTACTTTTAGACACCTAATATATTTTTATTATATTTTACAAGGTTAGTTTGGGAGCATAGTACTATAATCATCTATATAAGTTAACTTCATATTAAGTTTTTTTTTTTTCCTGATGGGTTCTTTCATTGTTTGATCTGTATTTTTTGTGCTTGGTATGGGATGATAAAGATAAACCAGAAATAGATCCAGCTTTAGGTACCTTTAATGTAGAGAGGAGGTGAGATTTTTACATAATCCTATATTGAACAAGGTAACAGTCAAAAGAAAAGTACTATATAGATCATATACTATAAGAGGTAGGAAAAATTACCTTCACCTTCTGGGAATCAAAAGTTCCCTGGAGGAGATTGTTCTTGAACTGATACTGAAGGATTTATATTTTCATCCTTCTGGAGATGTATTTTGGCCCACACAGTAGCTTGTTTCTTAAACGCAGTATGAGTGAAACTCATTAAGTGAAGTTATTTTGAATAGAACACAAGAATCATAAATGGTAAGGAAATAAAAACAAAAGTAAAGGATGAAATTCTTAAGAACTTTGTTTCCAGTATCATTCTCATTCTACGACTAAGGAGCAGTTTATTCTCCCATTTCATCCACCAAAACTTAAGTTCTTCTTTGACTCTCTTCTTTGGCTCTTATAAAAGGAATTGATATAGTAATGATCTTAGGTATCAAATAATGGAAATGAGGAAGAGACGAACGTCTCATTAGAGATATTATACTTCAACACCAATACATCTGGAATGAATTAATAGAAGAATTTCCAAGCATATTTCAGGGTTAGTGAAGAAAGCAAGACCGTTATGCTTTCTGTTCCACATTCTCCAAATCACATAACCTTTATTTTTTTCCTCCTCTTATGAAAATTCCTGTTTGATTCTGGGACTATTTGATTTTCTGCAAGATACCACTCAGCAAAGGAAACATATACCCCACTCATTTGCAGCCCCTCCAGTGCACTGTTTCTAAATGCCACTTTTTTTTTCAGACTATATTCCCTGATCTTAAAGAAGAAATCCCTGTCCTACTGATTGATAAAACATAAGGACATTAATTTGGAAGATGCCTTTCCTCTATTTCTTCTGATTTCACATTTTTTCTTTTTTCTTTTTGTTGCTGGCCAGTATGGGGATCTGAACCCGAACCCGTAAGTTTGGTGTGACAAGGCTGCGCTCTAACCAACTGAACTAACCAGCCAGCCCAATTTGACTTTAGAAAAGAATGATAGTATATGGACTTGAACTGGGTAGGGAAAATGGATTTAAGGCAGTAGTGACATTCTTGGGAAATTGAATATATAAAAATTATAATGTGAGGTTACATTTTACATTCCTTTGGGGTAGAAATAGAAAGAGCACTATGAGCTATCACATGCTACATTAACTCTTGTTTGACTTTTTATCTTTTGGATGAATCTTGAGGTATATAGTTAGCATTTCTGATAGGTTGAGAAACTGAAAATGAAGGACATGTGCAAATCAGGTATCTAAACATATGATTCACAAGTAGCACTGAAGTATGATATTATAAGTGAATATATGTATATTAACAGGCTGCTTCAATCAGTTACCATCTAAACAGTGTTTTCATGCTTTCTTGAAGCCAGGTCTGCCTTGTCTCCAAGTGCCAGGTTCAGCAGGCAGCTGCTTCTGATGTCTAGCTAAGCACTGAGGATCTGAAGTGGAACCTTTCAGAAGACATTGCTGTTGGCACTGGGCAGACCACAGCATCTCTTCCTGACTGCGAATTTCCCTTGGAAGCACCTTGAGTCATCATTACTAGATCTGTTTCATGCTTTTTGTATCTCCAGCATGTTGGGCCCTTTCCAGTTTTTGAACCACACAGATCCAGGAAGGCTTGCTACTAGCCAAACCAAAGGGCCGCATGAGGCTAAACCATCAGAAGTCAGGCATCTGTCAGCTCACAGATCTCGGAAAAGTAACCAAGTGGTGAGTTGCACTCTGGCATTTATTTTTTCCCCATTCTCAGAAGGTCAGGGTTAAACAATCTCATGTACAACTGAGTGGTAGGAGAGAGAGAAAGTCCAGTTCTATTTGCCCACTTGCCTGTGTTACTGCCCTTAGCATCTTTGTTGGTGAATGATTCAAGAGATGATGTCAAATGTTCTTGCACTTCTTCATTCCTGGCTTGACTCTACAACAAGGAGCGGCGAAACATCTAAATCTAATGGAACTTTGTCGGGCCTTAAAAACCAACGCCACCTTAGGTGACATTACAAGCAGCGCCATTATGGGCCCACAAGGGCGTATTAATGTGGCAGCCTAAGACGGCGCCGGGGGGGAGTAGGGTGGGGGGGTCTGTGGGAACCTTGCTTAAGCCCTTATTGGCTAAATATGTGCTTCTGCGCTCGTGAAAGGCATTGAGACAGGATTCATGCCTTTGACCTTTAAATTGATAGGATTATGTAAAGCTAGGCATTGAGACAGGATACATGCCCTTGACCTTTAAGCTGAATGTTAAAACCTCCCCTCCCTATCTGCCTATAAAAGCAAGTGCTTGTGCAATAATAAATGGAACTGCTGGACAGAACCCCCACCGCATTGGAGTGTCCTTTTACCTGGGCTGTTTGGGGGGCCGGCGGTGTGCTTACCTCTCTTCATGGCTCTCTTCCCCCGTCTCCTTCCAAAGGGGACTGGAGGGAAAGAGGAATCTGGGCCGTTCACTCGCTCACCAGAAGGAACGAGGCTAGGGCTGTTTGGGTCGGCCAGCGGCGGCGGACCTGACAGAACTTCAAGTGGGTTTTATTTATTTTCACCATTTTGGGGGTTCTGACATTTCACTGAGACCCACAATCCCAAAACAATATAAAAACAGGCTGTAAAGGGCCTTGGAGTTAATTTCTTATTTTTTAAAATTTTTATTAGCATATTCATTGTTACAAATCATACTTTATGACCCTTATCCAATATCTCCCCTCCCCCTCCCCCTCCCTCCTCTAATAACCATAGATTTGTTCTCTCCATCTGATTAACTATTCTTCTGTTGGTTTGTTGCCTAGATGATCTGTCCAGTACTGAGACAGGTGTGATCAAGTCCTCCCCTATTATCATAAATCAGATGCTGCTTTTATTACTCTGGAGTGTGTTTTGTGGAGAGAGGACCTCTTCTTTTTTTTTTTTTTTTCTTTTTTGGTTTCTGCTGGTGCCTCTCCTTATGTCAGTGAAGTTGAGAGTCTGGTGTGCCATCTGCACAGTGGCTTCGACTGCTGCTATAGAGACTAGCTGCTTTTGGGCAGCCATGGCAATTACAGTGGCTATGGAGGGCTACCCGCATAAAAATGGTGTTTTTGGTGTGCTCTTTACCTGGCTGCAGCTGGGTTCAACCTCTCCCAGCTCCATACCTCAGGACCCCAGTGGGGCCCAGGGCATCGGCAGCAGCTTGCCTAGTTGTGGCTGGGTTTGGCATTCCCTGGCTTCACACCTCAGGGCCTGAGCAGGTCCCTGGGGCAGTGGCAGCAGCTTGTCTAGTTGCAGCTGGATTCAGCTTCCCTTGGCTCTATGCCTCAGTCTAAGATGTTGTTGCAGAGCAGTTGGGGGGGGAGAAGGAGGAGGGAAGGGGGAGGGGAAATAGGGTGGAAAGATGAGGAAGGAGAAGGAACGTGATTGAGGCCTATGGCCCCCCACCATTCTGGCAGGGGAGACCAGGGTGCTACCAGTGGTGGCTCAGTGGTCATCTGTGGGCTGGTTGCGGATGTCAGGGTGGTGTGGCTGAGGCCCTTGGTCCTCCACTGCCCCAGATTGGGAGCCCGGGGCACTACCAGTGGCAGCTCAGTGGTCATCGCTGGGCTGGTTGCAGATGTCAGGGGGGCATGGCTGAGGCCCTTGGTCCCTCACTGCCCTGGCTCAGGACCCAGGTCACTTCCTGCGGCAGCTCGGTGGTTGTCTCTGGGCTGGTTGTGGATGTCGGGAGGCCATGGGTGAGGCCCTTGGCCCTCTCCACTCCCTGGCTTGGGAGCCCAGGGGGCTTCCGGTCCTTCTAGGTTTTATAGGTGTTCTTTGGTGATGATAGACCTTTACAAGTTAATATCAAACTTTGTCTCTGATCTGTGGCTATTTTGTTTTTTCTTTCAGTTCTGTGTTGGATTATTTGCTGTTCCCACCACTTAAGCTCTGCACTAGAACTAATTTGTTGTCCTTTGCTTACTTCTAAAATGGAGGAACTTCCTGTGGGGACCAGCACTTGAGCCCTGTAGTTGAGCTAAGCTAAATTGCTTCATTGCTGCTGATTCCCTGGGGAAGGCTTTTTGTGCAGCTAAAGTTTTTTTTTTTTTTTTAAAGATGACCGGTAAGGGGATCTTAACCCTTGACTTGGTGTTGTCAGCACCATGCTCACCCAGTGAGCTAACCGGCCATCCCTATATGGGATCCGAACCCGTGGCCTTGGTGTTATTAGCACCGCACTCTACCGAGTGAGCCACGGGCCGGCCCCAGCTAAAGTTTTAATGTTTGACCGTGTATGTACTTCCAGGTCTCATGAGGTCTGGTACACCCAGGTTGCATGGAAACTCTGGTCTGGGCCTAAGTCTTTTCAGTAAACTGCACTCCCTGCAGTTCTATATTCCTGACCAGTCTCCACTGAGTGGTACTGCGCTGATTGAGGGCAGATCAGCTGTCCATGCTGTGCCCCAGTGTTCCCCCAGTGGGCCTGTCTCCCCAACTGCCCACACTCCACCAATGCTTCCCATAGGATGGGCCTTGCGCATGTCCCTTGTGATGACTCACTGGCCTCTGAGTGGTTCCTTTTTTCTGTTGTCTGTGGCTCCTTGCTTGTATGTGGGTCCATGGGAACCTTATTAGTGGTCTTGCTGGCCAGGGGGTCAAGGCCCTTTTCCCCCTTGCTGCCTCCAAGCAACTTCATAGGAAGAGCACAGCTGAGGCTTTTGCCAGCTCTTGCTCTGTGTGCTCACCAACTCCAGCCTTAAAGCAGATGGGGCTTGAAATGGTGGGAGCAAGCCTTTCTCTCATTGTGGTTTCTCCTGCCTTCATGCGCTCTGTAGGTCTCTTCTCTTCCCCTGAGCTCTAGCAGCCCCAGCTTGGCTATAGTTGCTTTTTAATAGTTGTAAATTGATTGATTTGTGGGAGGGAGTGACTCTGGAGACTGTCTATTCTGCCATCTTGAGAGGAAGCTGGAGTTAATTTTAACCAATCCCTTCACTTTGCAGATAAGGAAACTGAGCACTAGAGAGAGTGGCAGAACTAAGTCATCTGACTTCCATTATCTTTCTAGTGCACCATATTACCACCTTGGTCTATAGCCTTGTTTTATTAGGGCTAGAAACTAATGAGAATCTTTCCGAAAATTAAATATCCTCTTGAATCAGATGATGTCCCTTCCACTGGTATTTTTAAGACCAGTAGGAAGAACCACTCAGTCTTTAGTTTAGGGCTCCTAGGAGATGAAATCTGAGCTGGGGGTAGGAAGAATGGGGAATTAGGGAAATGTTTTATTTTCTCCCCCTAGAGGCTTTAAATGAGAATGTCAAGGCTGCTAGCTATGTTAAAAGTAGATAATACTATGTAAAAGGACAATGTTCTTCTATCTTTAGTAGTTGAACTCCACTCAAGTACATAAATGCTCATGAATCCCTCCAGGAATTTAAAAAATTATTTTGCCATTTTGCATGGAGTATGATAACACTATAAAAACATATACCAGTACATTATAACGTTATAAAGTTTATACTAATAAAGTAATTGTAACCTTATTTTCAACTGGTCATCATTTAACTATGAACTTTATTTTAAATCAATTATAAAAAAGATCGAGTTTACAACAAGTAAATTTTAAAATAACATTTTATGTTTTCTTCGGGATCAAGTATAAAAATCTACGTAGAGTTCTAACTATAATGCAGCATCATAAAATTGCTATTGTCATCTGATAGCATTCTTATATTTCGTGATTTTAAAAGTCAATTGGGGGGCTGGCTGGTTAGCTCAGCTGGTTAGAGTGCGGCCTTGTAACGAAAGGTCAAGGGTTCAGTTCCCCATACCAGCAAGCCACCAAAAAAAAAAAAAAAAGTCAGTTGGATTGTGTTTGGAAATTTTTATTTTTGTATTTAATTCCAAACACAGTAAAAGTACAGTGACTAATATAACATCTATCCTTTGATCTCATTCCTGCTCTTGGGATGGATGATTTAAAAATTTTTAACAAGTAGGGTCAGATATCAACCAGTAAGAATCTTTGCCACGCCTAGCACTGGGGCAGTCCCTGAAGCCCCTACTGTTGAGCACTAGCTGCCTTGGTTACTGCAGTGTAGGGGAGGTGAGGGGTCCCATGGTCAGGAGTGGTGAGAGATGGGGGTGCCAGGGCAGTTGCTATTACAAACCCATAAGAAAGTATTATTTGACCATCGTGGACCATTTTTTTTTTTCAAGGATGATAATTATTCTCAACTAGATGTATAGACTTTGATTTTGATAAATGTAGTATATGCCTGTTAACCGCATTGAGTCCATAACAAATTATATTTATATATCATAATTTTTATACATTTAAATTTTTTCTTATGTAAACAAGCAGTGAGTAGTATCCTTATACAGCATGCCTTCTTGTCCATATTTTAAACTTTGAGATAAGGAAATTTTTCAAGCTGTATTTAAAAGTACTTGTCTACAAAAAATAAATTGCAGGTTGAATGTTTCTTATTTTTATAAATTAAAAGCTAAATTGGATATTTGTTATTATTTTTTCTTTTTTGATTGGTATTTGAAATCTTAGTGATATTGTGATGTACTAAATAAGATATTTAGGACATCTTAATCAATTTACTCTTTTGTTTTGGATCTCAAGCACACTATCAAGTTAATCATACTTAGTTCATTATCATTCTGTGCAAAGCCCCTTTCATTTTATTTTTTCATCATCATTTCCATTTCTATCTTATCTCAATTTAATGTATTTGATATATGTCTTTCAATATATACATCTTTTTAAAATATGTAGTTTTGTGTATTGGTTTATTTTTAAGAATATGTCATATACAAAAAAGTATAAAGTATATACAAACAGATTTGATTAAAAAAACAAGTACCTATAAGCCTACCACCCAACTTCATAGAACTTTACCAGTACCTTAGAAACTTCTTGTGTGCCCTTTCCTGATTGAATTCCTTTTCTTGCACCTAAAATTGAAAATAGTGTATATTTTGAATTTTTGTGTATATTAATTATTCCCTTGCTTCTCTTTCTAGTTTTATATGATATATATTCTTAATTGATATTATTTAACTTTATCTTGTTTAAAAATTTATATGAATGGAAAAGTTTATACTGTTTTTATCCTTTCTAACTTGGTTCTTTGTTTAGCAAGATCTGTGTTGATGTATGTGCAATTATTAATAATTTTCATCATTTGTAGTATGCTATTGCAGGAATATACCATAAGTTATTCATCCATGGGCCAGCCTGTGGCTCACTAGGGAGAGTGTGGTGCTGATAACACCAAGGCCATGGGTTCGGATCCCATATAGGGATGGCCAGTTAGCTCACTGGCTGAGCATGGTGTTGACAACACCAAGTCAAGGGTTAAGATCCCCTTTCTGGTTATCTTTAAAAAAAAAAAAAAAGTTATTCATCCATTAAATTATTATTTGACATATGGGTTGATTTGGTTTTTTGATTTTTTGAATAATGTTGATAATCTTTGCTTTTAAATAGAAAATTTAGTCCATTTACATATATTAATAATACTGATTATTTGGATATATTTCTACAATCTTTTTTTTTTTTTTTTTTTTGATGGCTGGACAGTACGGGGATCCAACCTTGGTGTTATAAGGCTGTGCTTTAACCAACTGAGCTAACTGGCCAGCTCTCTACTTCTATTGTTTTATCATATGCATTCTATTTGTCCCTTTATCCCCTTTCTGTCATGCCAAAACTGATTATTTTTTTGTTGTGTTGTGTTGTATTTGTTTTCTTTTTCTCATTCCAGTTATTCCTTTTCTCCTCGTTTAGAAGTTATATGCTTTGTGGCTATTGTTTTAGCCATTATAATACATTTTATTATTTTAAGTAATACATTTATTATTTAAATAATACATTTTATTATTTTAATATTTTATTATTATTTTTATTATTATCTAAGTATATACTTATCAAAGTTAACTAAATCTTTGTTACTCCTGAGAAATCTGAAGATGTTATAGTGCTTTAAGCTATTTTTCTCTTCTTAATGTATTTGCATCTTTTTTGTCTTGTGTTGGTTATATTCTTTATTTTCAACCCCATAAATTAGATTTTTAAAATTAACTGATGCTTATTTAGGTATACCCACACAATTGCTACTATTTTTGTTCCCTATTCTTGTATCTCAGACTTTGTAAGTTCATTTTTCTTATCTGTGAAGTGAATCCTTTAGAACTTTTTATTTATTTATTTATTTTTATTTAATTTTATTTATTTTTTAATTTTTTTTTAAAAGATGACTGGTAAGGGGATCTTAACCCTTAACTTGGTGTTTTCAGCACCACGCTCAGCCAGTGAGCGAACCGGCCATCCCTATATGGGATCCGAACCCAGGGCTTTGGTGTTATCAGCACCGCACTCTCCCGAGTGAGCCACAGGCCGGCCCTTTTAGAACTTTTTAAAAGTGAGAGCCTATTGGTGATAAACTCAATTTTTGTTTGTCTAAAATGTCTTTATTCTACTCTTATTCTTAAAATATAATTTTCTTTGGTATAAAATTCTAGCTGACATTTACCATATTTCCTTTATTTTAAGAAACATAATAACACCAAGGTCATGGGTTTGAATCCCCAGACTGGCCAGCCACCAAAAGAGAAAAAAGAAAATAAAAGAAACACTATTATTTTATGCACTATTATAAAATTTTAAAGTATGTTTACTGCTGAAGGATTCATAAATGAATAGTTTAATATGCATCCCAATTGCAGAGATACGTAAATGTGAAAATTTGTTCCTCTTAGAATTGATGAAAGATGATGTATTTTTCTTTCTACATTGTAGATATTATTCTGTTTTCTAGCTTTTGTGTTACTGCTGAGAACTCATTCACCAGTCTGATTGTTATTTATTTGTAATTATCTTTCTTTTTCCATTGTCTGCTTTTAACATCGCTTTCTTTGATGTTCTTCAGTTTTATTATGAGTGCGTAAGTAAGGAATTCGTTTTATTTATTTTCCGTGGAATTTGCTAGACCACTTAGATTGGTATCTTTCAACAATTATGTTAAATTCTCAAACATTATTTCTTCAAATATTGCCTCTTCCCCATTCTCTAAATTATATTTTTCTTGGATTCCAATTAGAAATGTTAGACCTTCTCATTTTAATCTCTGTCTTTAAACTCTCCTTTACATTTACCATGTTTTTTTCTCTACATGCTTCTCTTTTGTAATTTCTTCAGATATAAGTTTATGCATTCTTCAGCTGGGTCTAATCTGCTTCTTTAGTATGTCCATACAATTTTCAAATTAAAATTATTATACTTTTCATTTCTATAAGTTTTGTTTGGTTATTTTTTCAATATTTTTATTCTTTGTGGTCTCTTGTAACTTACTCATATTTTCAAAGTTCTCTTTTATTTCTTTAAATATTCAAACATAGTTATTTTGTATTCTCTTGTGCAAGTCCTTATTCCTAGTATTTTGGTAGGCATGAAATTAATTCTAAAACCTGATAACTTTAGAAAAATATGTTTTGTTTCTTTAGTACATTAAGCATTTATACACATTTTAGTGATTTAGGTTAAAGCATTTTTCTTTGTTTCACTTTAATCAAAAGACTTTGTCTTTACCAAAACTTATACTAGTTATAATTTAGAATATTGCACACCCTTTTGACAACAGGGGGAGATACCATAATACAGATAAATACGCCTTAATTTTTACCCTCAGTGTAGATATGGGAAAAATACAAAATTAATATTGATCTACTGAAATCTGATTTTTAAAAAATTATTTTGTGGGGCACAGAAAGAGAAATACTGCATGTTCTCACTCATAAGTGGGAACTGAAAACCAATCCATCAATCAATAATAAATTGAACTTTCTGAAGGAGAGAGCAGGAAAAGGGAAGTGGGGGATAGTAAGGCTAGCTAATGGACGCAAAACAGCTAGATAGGAAACATAAGTTCTATTGGTGTACAGTCACACCAGGCATCTATAATTAACAATAATTTACTGTATATTGTCAGTTTGCTAGAAGAGAAGAGACCAAATGTCCTCATCACAAATAAATGATTAAGATTATAATGAAGAATATGCTAATTACCCTGATTTGATCATCACATTATGTACACATTCAACTCTGTACCCCACAAATATGTACAATCAATATGTTTCAATAAAACAATTTATTTTGTGCATAGGAGTCAATTTGTAACCAAAAAATTGAACAAATACTGGTGAATCTTTCATCAGTGACTTAATAGTTCAAATTTTTATAAGCTTAAACTTTTTTTTTTTTTTTGATGGCTGGCCAGTACAGGAATCTGAACTTGGTGTTGTAACACCATGCCCTAACTAACTGAGCTAACTGGCCAGCTCCTCAAGTTTCTATAAAGTTTTTATTAGATGTGAATTAAAATTTCCCCAGGCATTTTATGTGTGTTTACTTGATTCCTATACTCTCAGAAATTGTGTCTATTTAGATGTGCTGCATTTATTTATGGCTGATGTTATAAGTTATAGGGTAAGTAATAATTTTTAGAAAAAATGTAAAGTAGCCTTTTAGGCCAACATGTTACTTGCTATTTTCCTGGAACCTATTGCATTTGTTAGTGTAGCACCTCAAAATGAATATTTTGAAGTTATATTCTGTATATTTAGAACTACTTATTTGTGTTTGTGTGGGCTCGAACGTTGTGGGTTTTGATCCATAGGGTATATATTTAGTTAATTAATTTACAATTTCTCTTTGTAGGCTTGTTTTGATCCACCTCTTGAAGTGGTTCCCACCAGGAACCTAATCATGTACAACAGAAAGGCAGCTGACCCAGTCCACCCTGAACTGGCTGGTTTGTTGGTAAAAAACAAGAATCTTTTAGCTGAGGTATATGGATTATCTGAAAACAAAGCACTATGGGAAATTATATCCTCTGTAAAAGTAGGAAGAGAAACATCCTGATAAAGGGCTCAAAATATTATCTTAATTCAGGTTTGCTTTTTTCTCAATATTGAACTCTTTCATCAGTGAGGATCACCAGTTTAGATCCAAATCTGTCTTTAGCCAGAGAACTGCCTTGTTCTTACATAGTTAAGTGCTTTTGAGGTGATGTCCAAATGCTTGGAGTATTAGAACATTGCTTATGAACTAGCATGCTCAACATTTATGTAATAATAATAATAATCAGTTATAAGTATTAAACATTTTTTTTTTTTTTTTAAAGATGACCGGTAAGGGGATCTTAACCCTTGACTTGGTGTTGTCAGCACCATGCTCACCCAGTGAGCTAACCGGCCATCCCTATGTGGGATCCGAACCCTTGGCCTTGGTGTTATCAGCACCGCACTCTCCCGAGTGAGCCACAGGGCCGGCCCCTAAGTATTAAACATTTTTAATGGAAAGGATGAGTTCCTATTTTCAATATGCCACCAAATGGCAAATATTCACTGGTTTTATTTAATATTTAAGACATCTGAGTGACATCAATGGATTAAAAAAAAAAGACATCACAGTTGTAGGAAATGCCTTGACTTACACTCTCTGTGATTAAGAGTAGAGAGTGCTTGTAGAAATTCTTTAATTGACCTAATGAGTTGTCTAGAGTAATCTTGGCATGATGGAAAAATATGTGGCCCTTTAATTTTGTGGAAAATTCTCTGAGAGGGAGTAGGAGTGGGTATGTGGAATATGGTAGATATAGAGAGACAGTCACCCACTTGGCAAATAGCAAGAAATTAGAATCAATGAGAATCGCAATAAATGGAAGAGAGTCTGAAAGTATCTTTAGTACAAATTTTAAGTCACAAAGAAAAATTATATAGGATTTGGCAAATCATTTTGTTTTAGAGAACTGTATGGCTTAAAGGAATCCCAGCAGATCTGAGGAAGAGAAACTATCACCCTAGGCCCTCTATTTAAGGCTGGAGCTACTTAGTCCAATACAGTAGCCATGAGCCAGAAGTGATTATTAAACACTGGGAATGTAGCTGCTCCAAATAGCAATGTGCTGTAAGTATAAAACACACACTATATTTCAAAAACTTAGTACAAAAAATAAAGAATGTAAGCTATTTTATTAATAATTTTTATATTGGTTACATGTTGAAATGAAGACATTTTGGATCTATTGGTTTAAATAAAAAGTATATTATTAAAATTTTTTAAAGATTTACACATTTTTGTAACAAATTTGATTAGCTCACTCAGTGGAGTGTGGTGCTAATAAAACCAAGGTCAAGGGTTCAGATCCCCATGCTGGCCAGCCCCCAAATCCCCACAAAAATTCTTTAGTTGAGCCGAATTATTCTCGGTATATTTGTTGTGAGAGATGGTCTTATAGATAATTATTCTTAGAAGCTCAAAGGCCATTGTCATTGTTAAGGGCACTGTGATGTGGCTGTTTATATCTGTATTGCCTCCATGGTTCCCTTTCAGTAAAATGTTCAGAATGTTTAAACTTGGGGGCACTGACCAGCCCTTTGAATAAGTAGCTATCTGTAGTAGCAGTATCAGTTTTTTAGTGCTGCCATAACAAAGTACCACACACAGTAGCTTAAATAACAGAAGTTTATTTTCTCACAGTTCTGGAGGCTAGAATACTGAGACAAGCTGTCAGCAGAGTTTTTTTCTGAGTCCTCTTTCCTTGGCTTATTTGGCCATCTTCTTCCTTCATTTTCACATGATCTTCCCTCCATAACTGTGTCTGTCTAAATTTCCTCCTCTTAAGAGAACACAGAATATTGGATTAGGGCCGACCCTAATGATCTTGTTTTAACTTAATTACCTTCTTAAATAGTCTATTCTCAAATACAGTCACATTCTGAGGTACTGGGAATTAGGACTTCAATATACAAATTTTGTGGGGAACTCAACTCAGCCCATAACAATACCCTTATTCCTTGCAGCCTCTTTTCTGCCCAGGACCATATTAAAGTTCCTGTCTGTTACCTCATCTATCAATAGCCTGATTCCAGGTTTCATTTAAATATAAGTATAGATAAAGATATTGTATTAGGCCATCTCTGTTGCTTATAACAAAATATCTGAAACTAGGTAAAGTATAAAGAAATGCAATTCATTTCTTACAGTTGGTAGGCTGGGAAGTCCAGGGGTCACATATGGTGAAGGCCTTGTTGGTAGGTGGTGACTCCTCACAGCAACACAGGGTGTCACATAACAAAATGGCTGAGCAAGAAAGTTAAACTTCTCAGTCGATCTCCTTTTAAAGCCATTAGAACCATGCCCGTTACTCCATGAATGGATCAATCCATTCATGAGGACACAGTCCTTGCAATCTAATCACCCCTCTAAGGCCCCACCTTTCAATTACCATAATAGGATTCCCCACCCTCTTAACAATATTACAGTGGAAATTAAGTTCCAATATATGGAACTTTGGAGGACACAGTTAGCCATAACATTCTGTCCCTGTCCCCCAAAGTTTATGTCCTTCTCACAGGTAAATACATTCATTCCAGCCTCAAAGTCTTAACTTGTTTCACCTCAAAAGTCTAAAGTCTCATCTGTGAAATCAAACAAGTTATCTACTTCCAAGATACAATGGGGGAACAAGCATAGGGTACATATTCCCATTCAAAAAGGTGGAAATAGTCCAAAAGAATAGGGTAACAGGTCCCAAACAAGTTTGAAACCCAGCAGGACAGGCATTAAATCTTAAAGCTGGTAAGTCATGTACCTTGACTCCATGTTTGGCATTCTCTGCACACTGGTGTAGGGGTAGGATCCTGCTGTTATGGTTTTCCTAGGTTTAGGCCATGCTTTAGTTCTCCCAGGCTGGTGTTCCACTCTGGTAGCTTTACAAGTCTGGGGTCTCCATGGCAGTCCTGTTCCCATGGCTCCACTAGGGATGGCCCTGGTGAGAGTTCTCTGCTGCAACTCTGACACTGTCACCTCACACCCCCAGGGTGTCGGAGATGTAAAGGATTACTCAAAGCCCGTTTTTCTGAGCACTGAGAAACCCTGAAGGGGATAATTTCTAGGAACCCTCGAGAGAGGCATTCCTCCTCAGGAAATTAACACTAAACTGGGGTTCTTTCTCAGTATTTATTCTCCAGGCCAGAAAGTTACAGAAAAGGAACATAGGTGGAGTTATGGCTAAGTATAGTTTAACAATAGAAGCTGGTAACATCAGTGAAATAACGAAGTGACATTCCATAATGCAATTTGTAAAAAGTTAAGTTGGTCCACCAACAAAAGCTTGTTTTTAACAAACACTTTCTTTCCCTACAGCAATTTCTTTAGTATGTTTATATAATAACCAAGGAACTTTCTTAACATATCAATCAGTAGGTTAACCTGTACCAAGGGCATCTGTCCTTGAGCCAGCAATTTTGCTGCGTTACAATTCTTTATCTACAACAGAGACTTTAGCCCAGGGAAATTTTCCTGTCTTTTGCAAGCTTAACACTTCTATGTGTGATTTTAAAAAGTTAGGTTAAACCTGAAACTACAGGGCTTTGGAGGCTAGGTCCTGTGAAATACATTTGCTTTATTAATGTTAGTGCTCTCTGTATGACCCCATATTTCTACTCATCATTGCTCTAGAAAAGCTCTCTGCAGTGACTCCACCTCTGTGACAGATCTCTTCCTGGGCCCCCAGGCTTTTCCATGCATCCTTTGAAATCAGAGTGGAACAGCTCTGACATTTTGCAAGCTTGCATATTTAAACTATGTAGATGCTGCCAAGGTTTCCAGGTTGTATCTTCCAAAGTAGCCATTCTAGCCACACCTGGGGCCAATTTAGCCACAGCTGGAGCTGCTGGAGAAGCTGTCGTATGGGAGCGACATTTGGAGGTGGCCACAGGCAGCAAGCCCATGGAGGGTGCCTCAGGCCTGTTACCCAGAACTATTCTGTCTCCCTAGGCCTTTGGTCCTGGGATGGGATGGACAGCCTCAAAGATCCCTGAAATGTCTTCAAGGACTTTCTTCCATTCTCTTGATCCCTTATGTACTAATCTCCTTAGCAAAAAGTCAAATACAAACTCCCTTGGTTTCCTCTCTCAGACTTTCTTACTTTTTACGTAGGCAGGCTGAGAGTTTTCCAATTTTTTACCCTCTGCTTCCCTTTTAATGATAGATTCTGCCTTTACTTCATGTCTTTTCTGTCATAACTCAGCATAGGCTGTTTCAGCTTCGTGAATGCTTTGCTGCTTAGAAATTTCTTCTACCAAATACCCTAGGTCAGCACCTTGAAGTTCCATATTCCATAAAACTTTTGGGCATGAACAGAATGCAGCCAAGTTCTGTGCCAGTTCATAACAAGGGTGATCTGTGCCCTAGTTTCCAATAAGCTCATCCTTATCTCTATCTGAGACCTTCTTAGAATGGTCTTTATAGTCCATATTTTTATCAGTATTCTGGTTACCACCATTTAACCAGTCTCTAAGATGTTCTTAACTTTCCATGGTCTCCTTGTTTTTTAAACTCTCACCAGCATCTAGGCTTTTTCTAGTCTGCTCCTCTAAATTCTTCCAGCCTCTACCTTACGTAGTTCCAAAGCTACTTCCACATTTCAGGTTTTTATTGTTATAAGCAACACCTCACTTCTAAGTACCAACTTTCTGTATTAGTCTGTTTCTGTTACTTAAAACAGAAATACCTGAAACTGGGTAATTTGTAAAGAAACAATATTTATTGCTTATATTTTCAGAGGCTGAGAAGCCCAAAGTCCAGGAAACACATCCGGTGAGGGCCTTTTCCTGGTGTTGACTCTATAGCAATGCATACACAGTCCTCAAAATCTAGTCACCTCTTTAAGACCCCACCTTCCGATTACCAAAATAGGATTTTCCACCCTCTTAACACTACTACAATGGGGATTATGTTCCAATATGTGAAACTTTGGGGGCCACTGTTGTAGATTGGAT